CGTTTCTTCACAAGGCAAAAAACGTTGAAGCGTATTCTGCGAAACGGTTATGCAGGACTGTACGATACGGATATCGGTTTCTATTAGGAGCAAATGCCAAAACCAATATTCGTTTTGTAAGCTACAGATTTTTTTTAGAGAGTACTCCAGCACCATATCAAAATACAAGAGTATTCAATTCGACTTCGGCACTAGGTTATGATCGATTCGTTCATAATACATATTACCCACAACATATGTCAATGCCAAATCATGTCAATAGTCATATGGAAAATAATGATGTAACTTTCAAAGTAAAATAAATTTTATGTTCTTAAGGTCTCATTCCAAAGTCATACGATGTTCGCTTTCCTTTGTCGAAAAACATGACAGTATCCGAATATCGTTGCTATCTTTCTTAAAAATGCGTAAATCAGTTTGAAGAAATCGGTTTTCTAGTATTCTAGAAAAGAAACCGAACAAGTTGCCCTGGACTTATCGAAAAGAAAATATGATATATCTAATCGATATTTGTATTAATAAGGTTTTATGTTATTGTTGTTTTTAGACATGTCCATATTGTTGTGCAGTTAACCACATTAATTCAAATAGTTGTGTTGGTGCACAATGTCCATGAAATAGAATGAACTAATAATAAAATAAAGTTTTTTGTTATATATTTTTACATGGTCTCTTGGATGTTCTACATGGTATAATTCACCGGATCATTTTTCTTCACAGTAGAATGTTTATTCTTTTTGTCAGTTAACATTGCTAATCAATTTATTTAATACGTCAACTATGTATTATACGTTTAATATGACTGATTCATTTATGTATGTCAAGTGTTTATTCTTTAAATGAAAATAAATAAATTGATGTAGCTGATTTACAATATATTTAACAGAGAAAAAAAACAAATCGTTTCAATGTCCTATTATTTAGAATAAGATCATAATGCTCCTTTGCTAACTACGATAGTCGTGGTTTTTGTGCCTTCTGGTTCTCGTATTCTGTATTGTCATGTGTGGCTTAATTGATTACTTCCTTTTCACTGAACTTTACAATCGAGATCAACAACTTTGTTCTCGAAATATACCTTCAGATATATATACTTGTTTTTTGTCTTCTTTAGCGTACAGTACTGTATTCGTCCCGATAAGTAAAATTGATCGGCAATCAAACGTTTATCTGTAATCCTGTTTTGTGTTTGAGAGGCGACACAACGTTTCATTAGTGCGATCTATAAAAAAGTTTTCAGGCATATTGATCATTATAAAAGTCAATACCTTTCTCTCCAAGTGTACTTAGTCACGAATTCCTATTGATTTTAGCTCGTATAGATAAATGGCGCCATGACTATGATTAAAGGTATTAATTGACCATTGTCAGTCTCAGGGACGGTGCCAAGAAGTTAAAGCAGGGGAGAGTGGTAGTTTCAAAAACCGAAGTAAGTTCAAAAAGATTTTCCGGCAGGTTTGATAAAGTAAAAGACTTGCACATTTAAGGTGTCTCCCTGCCCAGAAAAGTAGTAATTACGTGTTTTTCCTCCTCAAAGATGAATATGTGGCTAATTTACGGCTCACTTTTCTTATTCTATTATATCTAATTTTCTGTACAGTACTTGTGTTTATTTTCTTCAAAATGACTACATAAGCGATCAAGCCTTGAATTATACAGATTCCAATTTAATTCCCTTGACTGAAAGTCTTGGGTCATACAAACGAAATGTCCGACCGCCCGTCCTCAGTAAAGTAGTGACACCTGCTTTTAAATTAGTGTAAATTAGCGACATATTCATATTCGAGGAAGGAAAACACGTAATTACTGCTTTTCTCGGCAAGGAGTATTACAAGTAGATATGATAGGTCGTAATGGATAATTCGATTTGTGGATCTTTGCCGTACAATATAAATATGGTATCGTACATCCCGTTACGAAAAGACGATCATAAGTCTGCTGAGCAATTTTTTATCTTTCAACAGGTGTTTCAATCTATTGTTAATTTTATTTTCTTCTTCTAATGTCTTGTCCGATGAGCTGATACTGAATTTCGTTGTATCATTTAACATATTTAGCATTTTCTCATAATAGTCATGTTTGTTCAAAATCACAATTGCGTTACCCTTATCAGCTTTTAATAGGACTATCTTGTTGTCATTTTTCAACCTTTTCATCGCATCTATTTTATCATTCGATAAATTAGCTACTCGTTTGTGAACTACTCGATACAATAGATATTCAGCAGCAAGTTTAAGGGTACCGCCGCCCTCTTTTTTTACCCTCTTGGAAACTGAGGAAGCCAATGTCGGATCGAGATGAAATTTATACTAGAGATAGAAAGAACATCGAAAAAGAAAATCGATATATTTTGCCCAGAATTTTCTGACATGTTCTATTATGGGTTTTCTGGAAAACTCCAGTTTTTATTGGTACATATTATAATCCCTCGAAAAAATGATCCGATCGAGCTCAAAATTTTACCACAGATACTTCAGACCGTATCTCAGGTTAATTTTGTTTTCTTTTCAAAAAATATTATTTCCTTCATGAGATATTCGAAAAATACTAAAAATCCCATATGAAAAACCGGTTTTTCATTTTGAAAGCCTTCTTACGCCGAAAATGAAATCGAAAACGCTTTAAAAAGAAACGAACATGAGATAGGGTCTGAAGTGTCTGTGGTAAAATTTTGAGCTCGATCGAACCATTTTTTAGAGGGGTCGTAATGTGTGCTAATTGAAGGGACTATAGAAAACACTCTTAGTGAGAAAAACACATATGCGCTGTGTTTTTCAGGGCGTTTGCAGCGATACTTATATCTGCATGAAAACTCATCGGAAAACTCTGGAAGACATCTCATTTTGAAGAGCACACTTTCTTCTATCATGCTATGTATAAGAAGAAATTTTGAATACATATGAAAGGAGAGAAAAATTTACGAACCCAAAAAATTGAGATATTCTAGGCTTTGAATGAAAAACTTAAAAACTGCATAATTTTTTCAGGGAAAATCATGGAGAGCTGGGAGTGGTCTCATTCAGACTTCCCTCTACATTAGACTAGGTTCAGCTCAAAATGAAACCTTTTCTACAAAAACGAGAGGGGGGAGGGGGGTTACCCTTGATTTCATTATATAATTGGTTCCACTTTATCAACTTATTTTTCTTATTATTCTCTTTTGTCCAGTACATATCATGTTCAATATCCGATACATTGAATTTCATTTAATTTTTCATATATTAAAGAATAATACTGTGAACGAATACATTTTGCAACTGATTCTGATAATAACATTCGAATACCATTATCATCAGTTTTCTTCATTTTACTTTTCTTTAAATTTCCAACTATACAATGTTTAAAATTAAATTCGTTTAACATTAAACAATCTAAAATTGGTAAAAAGGCATTTGGAATAAACTTTAGATTAATAAAATATTTTTGATTAAATTTTTGAACATTTTCATCCATTATTGATTCTATCATCTGTGTTAAAAAATTTGTTGTATGACATAAACAATTCTTTTGTTCTTCTCAAAATAAATTTAATAGACTTTTCTCTTGTGATTCGATCAATAATTGTTGAATTGTATTGACAAACATAGAAAAATATTCATGTTGAATAGTGCGTAAACGTTGTAATTGTCGTCTGATTGTACTAATTATTTTAGATTCTTTACTGATGTCAGTTAGACCGTTTAATGTGGCTTGAGGAATAATTGATAATACTTTTGATTGACCATTATTACTATTAGTAGTATTTGTTAAAACATATCAAAGGCTGTTGTTATTGATGGCTGTTAGTGACTAGACATTAATACTACCAATCGACCAAATAAATCTTTCAGTTGTTCATCAATTAAATTTTCATTTTGTTCATGAATTTGTTTTATTTCAAATTTTAAAAACCAGATCTCCGATGGATTCAAAAGTGTTTTGATGTAACATCAATTTTTTGAAATAAATTTTCTGAAAAATTATGAATTTCTGCTTGTCAGATATTGGATACTTAAAAAAGATGGGATGAGTCTATTGCTACCATGGCGCACCTTCCTGCTCTCTTCCGCCTAGAACGTCTAGTTCAGAAAAACATTAGAATTTTTCTAAATGACCATTGCCACTCCTTGTCATCAAGGAGCTAGTGGCACTTTAAAATGTTGCATATCATTACCCCTTTCTTACTACACGCCTTGAGAACATGTTTTTCAACTTGTAACAATTTTTTTCATCTAAAGTAAGTGTTCAGAAAACAAATTTGGGGTGGGTTCCATCGCGACAGCAAAACACACGTACCTCAGACCAAACGTAGGAATGAGTTTCAAATGGAAAATTGTATAAAATATGAAAAATGGGAAAAAAATAAACTTCTAAAAAAAATAAACGATCTAAATGTGTTCAATAAAATTCATTTGTGCCTACACAAATGCCCTCTTACTACTTTTCTTTCGAACAAATATGATACTGGTAAAGGCAACAACAATAGAATGATTACACTATAAGCTTAGATCCATACACTTATAATCGTCGACTTCTACTCTTCGTGGTATTTGACAACAGTATTTATCATATTCATCCTACACCGAGCATGTCATTAATACACACACGTTTTTCTTATGATGATCGTAACATTGAAATGTCAAAACATTAGGTTATTTTGTTATTTCAATGTTACCGTTATGGTTAAGAAAATGTGTAACAATCATTCATGACAAGCTTAGTAAAACAATGCTACGAAAGAACGAATTCAACTAATAGTTATTTTATATCAATGTTTAGGTGTTTTTGAAAAACTCAAATTATACTGTGCAGTTATATATGTAATATTAATGATAATTTGGTATTATCTTCCGTAGTTTTCACAATTACACGAGTGTCTCTATTTACCCCAGAGCATAAAAAGAATTTCTAGTTCTGTTGATTATATGCTAATTAGCTGAACGACTTTAAATGATAATGAGCTCAAACAATATGGTACATAGAGAGAAGTCCGAGCTATGAAATGAGGTATTTTTAAACTAATTATCTCCTGGATTTGGCTCAAAACTGGTCGAAAATTTTCAAAAGATTTTTACGTGTGCGTGTAGAAAAACGTTCGGTCTACCACCGTGTTCCATAGCAAGCTTTTCCGATCAAAAACGAAGAAATGGCAAAAACAGAACGATTTGATTTTTGTAGAACTGCTTCAAAAAAGTACTATTTCGAATTCGGCAAAAACCAGCAAAAATTTGTTTAGTGTGCAAAATGCGTTTTTTATGATTGTTTCGACAAAGTCAATAGTGGATTTTGTAGAGAATTTAATTATTTATCCACTGATATACTTTCTGAAACTTTTTAAAAAACTAAGTAGGTCAGAAAATTGAAATAAAAAACTTCTAAATTTTAAATTTGAATTTTCGATTTAAAAATTTGAGTTTTGTTTGTTTTAAAGTTGATATTCGTAATCAGCGCAAAAAACTGCGTCTAATGATGTGCTTTTAAGGCTGGTTTGAGAGAAAAAATATCGCTCAGCCCACAGCAGCTGAGGGTGACAGTTACGCGTTTTAGCCGTGATGCAGTATTAATTATGGATGAATTTGATAGTTTAATTTTGGATTCTGATCATATATTTCAAAAAGTGACCTATGTTGAATTAACTAATTATGATAGAACAATGCCTCTTGATCGAAAAGAAGATATTGGAATATTATTTGATGGAGTATTTACAAAACACACGGCGAAAAAATTTTCACATGTATTTGATCTATGGTGTGAAAAATTATTAAATGAAAAAAGGCAGGAAGATATAAAGAATGGTACCAAAACATTTCAAGATAGTTTAGGAAACGATCATCGCTTTGTCGACTCGTTTTTGACTGATTTATTAAAATACTCCAAAGCTAATTTTGTTCATTTTTACTTAGATCTTTTGGTATTTTATTCCAAATTCAAACAAGTCATTGGTTTTTCTGGCAGTATAACAGCAAATGGGATGAATAAATTTAAAACGTTATTTGAAAATAAAAAAGCATTCTATTATGAAATTTCATCATTTTTTGGTTTATTAAATCTTCGAAAGAATTGAATATTTGAAAATGATCCAGGTAAAGTGATCGAAAATAGCGATGATTATTTAAAAGCAATTAGGGAAGAAATAAAGAAACGATATTTGGAACAACCAATCTTGATATTTGCTGATTCATTTAAAAAATTCAATCAAAAGAAAGCTGATTATGAATCCATACATGCACGATAAATTAATAGAAGCAAAGAATACATTCTTAAAAAGTTCTACAATTATCAAGATAGTAGAAGAAGCGGATATTAATAAAAATATGCATAAAATTGGTAAATTAGATTCAATTACATTAGCAACGAGAATTATTGGTCGTGGTATCTATATTACAGTTGACAAAACTATAAAAAGCGGTTTACATTTACTTAGGGCTGACCAAAAGTTCGTAGAACGATGTTTAAATTTTTATAAAATACTTAACATCGAAAGATTTATTGCATGAATACTTAGTAAAATGTCTCGTCTATAATTCTAACCAGTAGCGTATCCAGGAATTTTTTAGTAGCAGGCAATTCTCCAGCCAAACTATTTTGAAAGGTGGAGAGCAATGGACAATTGAAAAATCTATTGGGCAATAATTTTTAAAAACTTATTGACATTATAAAAGCCGATCGTTACGGAGGAGAAATTCGTCAACCTCAACTAACAGAACAGCTTGCTCGCTCTCTTTGTGCTATTTCATAAATTTACTTTTCAACTTTCAAATACTAGATTATTTTATTCTATCGTTACTCATTCGGCCGCAGCATCGATGATTTTTTTCATTTATTAGACGGCTGTCACGATTATCATTATTGCTAAGAAGTGATGACGAAGATGAGTGTTAGTCTATCTTTTCAATCGAATCAGGCAAACGTCATATTGTCTTTTTTCATTGGGCAATGACAAACATTACTTGGTTTCTTTCATCAAAGAATAATGCACATGAGCGTTAGTTTTTGTCCCCTTTTGTCATACAATGACAAGTGCTACTCTACATTTATCACTAGATAATCTCCTCAAACCTGGTTTTTTTTTCTATATGATTCTGTTGTTCAATTGTCTATCCTCTACATTTCGTATCATCATTTCATTGTCACTAATCGCAATTCCTTGCTTGTATTTTCAAAGCACTTTCATTTACATTTTCTATTTAGTTTGTTTCAGTTTTTGAGTCTTACATTGCGAGAATCATGTTACAACTTACATTGTCAAACGTTACAGCTTAAACTACTTCAGCCATTTCCATTCAATAGGCTTTCTGTGTTTAGAAAGAGCGCTAAGGATTCATCAGCGAATTTATGTGTAGTGCCGAGTATTTTAACGGAAGAGTATCGTTGAGTCGTCATCATTAAGATCATTGGTTAAATAGAAAAGACTGTTGATTGATTTTTCTGAAACAACTGATTAGATCTCATCTTGAGACAGTTTATTAAAAATCACATCGTTTCAGTCATCAAACGTACACGAGAATCAAAATTTTTTCACAGTGGGCAATTGCCATTATCTCAAAAAAACTGGTGGGCAATAAATTTTGAACTGTTGGGCAATTGCCCAACTGCCCACTACCTGGATACGCCACTGATTCTAACAGTCTTTTAGATAGAGCTTATAATGCAATAAACATGTGAACATTCCTTGTTCAGGATTCGAATATATTTAGGATTTACCAAAGGTTTTCAAAACATCAAATAAAAATATATAAAGAAAGATCTAT